ATGCAAATAGGACAACCCCGTCGATAAGGAACATGGTCCCGTTGAACATGGAGAGCATAAGACTCCTCCTCAGACAATTTCCTCAGGATGGCCTGCCTCCTACCCACTTCTTGTTGATTCACACGCTCCCATTTCCAAAGAAGCCAAGCCCGTTGAATCAAGTTAGCTAAACCACTTCCCCAACACTGGTTCCGTGGCCCTTCAGCCCTTTCAACATTGCCTAATACCGAACGCAAGCGCTGATCCACCTTTAGCTTGTGCAACGTCTCATACAGAAACCACGAGCTCGTAATAACAGAAGTCTCACGGACCCCTAGCATTCCCAAGCAACCCTGATCGAAGATGGCCCTTTCTAGAGGGTAACATGTAGCAAAAAGGGTATCACTCAAGCCCGATCCCACGGATTGTAAGGTCGAAGATAACAGGTCGTAGTCCGCCGCAAAAAACACCCTATGGCGATTGAGAACATCCCCTTCGCCCAGGCTTGCCCGCTCATATCGGCGTTCCCCAGCTGCATTCGCTACAGCAAACACCAACATCAACCTCATAACCCTTATCACCTCTTCAACCTCACTTTCCTCCTGAACTCCTTGGGACACCTCCGGCTCGCGGGGCCCCTTCACCAGACCCCCTATAACCCCGCTACACGCCCACTTCATCAACAGGCTAAACACCAGTCTGGAACCTAGACCCTTATCCGAGTTAGCCACCGATACCACCCGACCCAGACCCTTCCAGGAAGATGAAAACGGCGATACCGCAACCATCACTGAGCCAGCTTCAGCTCTAAAGACTGACCGCCTCAGACGGCGATTCCAAGGGAGCTCAGACCAATCAGTCCGCTCAGAATCCAAAGCAGGAACGCACGCTCTGGCCAACAGCCCCACAGCTATTTCAGGAAAAAGAGCTCTCAGAAACACAAGCTGATCAACCTCCGTCAGCCCAGCCTCACCACGAGCCTCAACCCTTTCCTTCAGCCACTTCTTAGCCTGGCCAGGCTCAATCCCTTCAACCAAGTCCATAGCCTCAGCCTTACTCACCAATGGATCCCCTCTGCGTTTAGCCTCATACTCCTCTAGCAACTGAAGCCCCACAGACCTCGGAATCAACGGACAGCCCTTAACTACCGTTACATTCAACGCTCCCAGGCGCCGATGCTTCACCTTGCAGCCTCCTTTACGCCAATTAATGGTGTACCCCAGATCTACCAAATAGCTCGCTGGCAAGATAACTTGGCAATCCCCATTATGAAGAAGAGTTCCACAAGGGTTAATAAGCAACTCCGTACCTCCCGACGCGAGATCTACCTTAATGGACCGGCAACCTTCTGCCTCTCCTGACGCCGCCGGGCGTAGGGCATTAGTCGCTCCACTGTCTATCAGGCAATACTCAGGGTCAGACGCCGAAACCAACGCACTGCGAAGCCACGAGAGGTTGAGACTGGCCTCAGGTTCAACTCTAAGAGCCCTTAACGAAACTCCTTTGAGTAGCTTCGTGGCCTCCGCTACCAGGGCATCAGGGGTTAAGGTAGTTGAACCTGCTGCCGCTGCACTGACACTAGCACTCCCGGCTTCAGCGGAGGAGGTTGAATCCTCCACCACTCCTTTCGCCTGAGCCCCCGCTTTGGCCTTAGCCTTACTCTTAGCAGAACCAGACCCCTTACCTGGATTCGCCTTTGGAGATGCCTCAGAACCCCCATCCGACACCACTACGCGGTGCTCAGGCGGTACCAGCGTACAGTCGGGTCTGAAATGGCCTGATTGGCCGCAGGCCAGACAGCGATTCTCTTTTCGAGCCTTCGCTCGATCATGCTTAAACCGGCAGCTATCTCCGAATCTACACCCCGAAGCATCCCCGAACTTATGACACAGTGACACCTCAGAAGCCTTCCCCTTGCCTTTGCCTTTGTCAGAAGACTCCCCCTGACCTACTCCTACCGCCGAAACCTGGGGATTAGGAGGTGGTGGAGGGGGCGCTGAGGGTGCCTTACCAGCTGCCTGTTCTTTAGCAGCTGCCAGAGCTGCAGCCTTAGCCCGCTTATCGACCCCTCCATCTAGAGTTATCGACGCCGATTCACACTCCGCTTGAATAAGTCTCACAAGTTGCACAACGGTGGCGACTGTAGGGTTATGATCGATGGCAAGCTGATGTCTAAAGGCATTCACTCTGAACCCTATCATCGGGTGAGTCCCTAGCAAAGACGACGTAGCACTATCAACCCCTCTAAGAAGCAACGATGGGTCCGGTAAAGTGGCATGTATTTCCCCCGCTCTTTGCAACCCTTGCTGCCAAGTGCGTAATCCCTTAATGGCTTCGCCAAACGTCTTGCAAACAGCCGGACTCACCAGCTGGGACAGCAAATGTGATCGTTCACTCGACCCGCCAGGTTGAAACAGGCAGAGAACCCTGAATAAAATAGCTGCGCTAGATAGCCACCTATTCGTAACCACGTCATCCCGAATGCTCTGAGGAACCGCCGCCAACAATAAGCTAACCGACCGGCTCTCCACTCGCCCATACAGCTGACGATCAAACTCTCCTACCACCGTAGATGGGTCTACAGCAAGACGGCCTAAGGGATCGGCTACTAGCCACCTACGGTACGCCGCGGTGGCTGGTCCTTCGACCCCCTGCCACCAAACTGACGCGCTCATCGATAAGCCCACCATTATCTGACGCACTTGCGCCAACCAGTTGCCACATACCACTGCCGAGTTAGCTAAATCCGATTGGCTAAGCTTAGGCAAATCCGATATATATCTAGCAGGCTCCTCAGGGCGAACGCTCTCAACACTAGAACCCCTTCCCAGCGGAGCCCCAATTCCGGTAGGTCCTACTCCGGAGCCCAAACCCGGGATTCCGACAAAGGCTTCATCAGGAAGCGCAACAGCCCTCCCCAATTGTGAACAACCCATATCTCCAGGATACCCTCCTCTCATCGAAGACTCTCCCGCAATTAAAGAACCCCGAGGCCCGTTAGCCCCATCGAAGCCTGAAACCCCCAATTGCTCGGGACCCCTCAAGACCGCACCCAGACCTGCAGAAGGCGCAACCGGTACACCTAACCCAGCGCCCTGAACTCCCGGCCACCCGGCACCCTCAACCGCGTGGGGCGCACCGGCAAGTGAGGTCGTTGGAGCCGTTCTCGTGGTCACCGGCAATGGCGGAGGACGGATCACAGTTCCGCCCGGGGAAACAGGGTATCCCTGTTCGTCAAACCTCGAAGAAGAACCCACGACGGCCCTAGGCGTATGAAACCCTGAACCCTCAGGCTGAGCCCCAGAAGCTGCCCTTGCCCTTTCCGTAAATTGCCTCATAGTCTGAGGGGAGCCCAGTTACTGGGACCCCGGGCACATCCCTCGGAACAGGTGGTAGAGCCGGTAGGGGCAAAGGAAGTGGCAGAGGAGGAGGTGGAACCCTATCCAAGGCCCCTGAAGCACCACCAGCCATCGCCATCATCGCTCTTGAACTTTCTACACCATCTCTTACATCCCAACCAGAAGACGAAGCCTCGACCCTTTGCCTTGCCCAAGATTGCGAACCCCCGGAAAGGACTCCATCCCAGCTTACCCCCAGGTTCCTATCTTCCAAACTTAGGTTATGCTGACTCGGGAATTCCTGGGCCAAAAACCTCTGTACATCTGCATTGGTGCGCGGTCCAAAAGTGACCGATGAAAAACTTGGATCCGGCTGCGCTAGCCCCGAGTGCCAGCTCGAATGCGAACGGGACTCTGCCTGTTCCAGACGGCGCTTGAGCTGCCGGTTCTCTTCAAGAGCGTGGTACAACAGTGCCTCAAACCTTTCCAGACGATCGGGTTCATCCGGAATCAACTCTGGCACTTCGTCACGTGTTCCCGAAGGATCCGCACCCAAACCAAGAGCCTCTGCCCCTGACTCACCTCCTCTTTCAGCAGAAGTTTCCCCAAACGCTTGTGCCGACAAACCTGGCCTAGCTGGCTCTTCCAACTTAGTCTTAATCTTCGATGCTGATGACTCCACTTCGGCCGGCTTGACAGTCGCTCCTGAGTCCAGGTCCCGCGTGCCGACTCTCGCCACGCGAACCGCTTCGGCAGGATCAAAAGCAGCAGAATAATCCGGCTCCTTCAAGTGTTCAACATCCATTCCTCCTAAGTCTTGATCTCCAGACTCAATTCCCAGTCTGGCAGCATCCTGATCCAGCGAGGTCGGTCTTGACCGTATCAATTCCACTTCAGTCCGGACTTTTTCAGAATGAAAGGGGTTTGCGGTAGGCAGCGATCCACTTGTCTGCTGCCCTCCGGCTTCCCCCGACTCCAGCATGCCAGGACTGGCTTCCCCTGGAGCCATGCCATTCAGGGACGCCCCACCGGTATCCCTGCCGGAGCCACCTAATGACTCCGCCTGGCCCAAAGCTGTTCGGTAGTGATGGTCTCTGCTCTCTTCATCCTGCTCCTCAGCCATCCCAGACTTCCTTCGACGAGTCCGGATGTCCATGGCCGAAGACTACGGAGAAATTACACCCTCAGGGTCACCTAAGTTCAACCCCAATACTAATGCCGCTACGGCTGATAACCTACGTGAGATAAACCCTTAATGATAACCAAGATCCTCGCAATGATTGAATGAAGAGCTCGGAATCTCAATGTCACAACGAATACTAGAAGAGCGCTCCTTCAACGCCCAATCTTTTTTCCTCGAACAAAAACAGCCTTGACGTCGGACGAAGCGGTCTGCATCCTGGGGTCAGCTTCACGCATTTAGGGTTTAGGCTGTTTTAGGGACTAGCCGGAAGGTTCCACTGAAGAGCGAGGAGATTCTAGTGTTTTGGAACGGCTTCTGTATTTCGACTGATGAAGCAAGGGGCGAAGGGCCTTTAGGATTTATGTAATTTTTTCGAGACCAGAATCAGTCGAGGGGTGAGTCTGTAGCATCGTCAAGCCTGTTCGAAGGTACCACACGAGACCCCAATACTTGGCTTGCTACCCCTGCTTGTGGTTTTAGATCTCCGAAAGTCGGCGGAGGCCGCGCTGCTGAAGCTGGCGAAGGTGAAGCCCAGCAACGGCCAGACTTTTGCAGAGGCCTACGACGAGGAGGCAGAGCTGATAAATGCGAAGTATAATACTCACCATAAATAGAAATAAGTATATACTGACAAGTTCTAGTGACTAGTGCATTCCAACCCAATCCAATCAAATCCCATTTCCGGCGGTTTCACGAAGAAAGGCCTCTGGCATTTCCTAAGGTTCCAACGACCACGGGCCATGGCAGACGGGGTTCACGCACGGTTTCGCAAACCTGCATTTGGTGGAGTTGGTAACATCACAGAGCACAGAACCTTGAGAGCCCGAGACCTGAGTCCTGTCCCCCAGATCTGACCAAGCCTTGAACCATCCTGAAACCAAAGCGGAAGCCGTTGTCAGGTGAAAGCACGCGAAGTGAAGTACTCGACAGCAAACGGCCTTGGCTCTCCGGAAGCCAACAGCCCCCTAAGCCGCAAGGAGCAGCATCGGCCTAAATGTCAGTCTGATGATGCTGAGAACTGGCAGTCAAGGGCATTGGTATTGGTGGCGTGCGCATGTGTGGCGCATGGCAGACGTCTCAGAGCAGTGCAGTCAAGGCTACCACACCCAAGCCGCGCAGACTCTGAGGCGCGGGATCCTTCCGTCATTGAGTAGAATAGGTTTGGGATGCTTCGTGCTTGGATGTTGGTTTAGTGAGGTTTAATGCCTTGGGCAGGGAGGTTGGTTTTGCTTGCATTGAAGCTCAGCTTGTGTTTTTTGGACCTGGTTCGAGGTCTGTGGCACGCTTCTCTTTTGTCCTGCTGCAAGAATGTGCTCTTCCTCCGACAGCATCCAGAAGTCGTCTTTCTTTCAATTAACTTCAATTCATGTAGGCCCTAGGCTTCTCTTGCCCGTAGATATCAAGCTCACAGGGCCAGGCCACGGGAACTCTTTTTTTTAAACAGGGTAGCGACGCCCCCGTGGCCTCGCCAGGAACGTTCTCCTGGGTGGCCCGGCTGCCTCTTCTGGATCCAACGACCCAGAGGCTGCCCAGGCGGGGCCTAGGGGCCTAAGAAGAGTAGGACCAAGGAAACAAAAGCAGCGGCCAAGGAGAAGAAAACGAAGGGGTAGAAGTAGCAGCAGTGGTAGAAGCAGGTATCAGCGTGAGGAGTTTTTGGAGGAGCAGCAGCCGCAGGAATGGTGGGAGCAGTCAAGGCGGCGGATGAGAAGGATAGTATCAGATCAGCATCAGCATCGCCGGGCTTCACAATCATCATCATCATCGTCACCATCATGAGCAGTAGTCATAGTCGTCGTCGTATGTCCAGTGACTAAGAAGAGCATCCGACCTCCAGGCGTCTGGAAGTGCGCAGCCCGCCAAGCCGCAGACCTTGAAGTTCGCAGCGGAGCTGAGTGTGAACGTGTCGCAATCCGTTAAGGAGAGGATGGGGGGTTGGGGGGGGGGTATCTGGGCATTTCTCCTCCCGCTGGTTTCGGAGGAAAGTCTGGGGCATTGACTCAGGGCTTCGGGCCTCTGTAGTTCAGGCTTCCGTTCCCAGAAACGAAGGTCTTGCTCGGTTTGTTGGATGTAGTCGTGATGATCGCTGTGTCGTTGTCAGGGTCACCAGGTATCCTCCTCCTCGTCACCTAGTCTTCGCAGTGCTCACCGCCAAAACCGCTAATATACATGAGTGAACGAAGACTCTACACATATACATGCATGCTGCAGACATGCATACACGCCATACTATGCAAGACAATGCACTACTAACACTATGCTAGCACTACGCCAGGCTGCACGATGCTCCACTATACGCTATACACCATACACGAAACACTATACACTACGCTGCGCTGCGAAAGGCTATGCTACAATGCTACGTGTCACCCTACTCTACAAGACGGTACAGTACAACAACACACAGTACAGCGCAGTACAGTGCTGTGGTTGCAGTGCAGTACAATAACACATGTATGTGTGTGTGTGTGTGTCGTATTTTTTGCTAGTGAAGAATAAGCATGCAAACTGCAAAATATCCTTCCTTGTTTTCTGTTCGGAGCGACATGCTTGTACCAGAGCGGTGTTTCCTCAAATTTGCCGGTTGGCCTGACGCGAAATTCGACCCAGCGGATGCAAGTCCTCCCGGCAGCGTCGAGAAGCACGGCGTGCTTGAGACCACCCAGCTCGAGTACTAGAAGCACGAAATATAGGGGCCTAAATAATTGCGAATGCTATTTTGGGGGCTCCTTGTCTTAATTATGAAGGGCCCCATCTTACAGCCCCGCAACGAACCAGCCGCATCCTTTGAAGCCCTGGGCTACGAAGCAGCCTCTTCCTGCAAACAGGACTTCAACGAGCAGTGCTACCAGTACTCGGGCTCCTCCTCCAACCCTCTGGCATCTCGGAGAAGGGAGTGCATGCAAGGAAGCGTCATGTAAGTTGAGATAGTGAGTTTGGCCGTATGGTCAAAAACATCGCAGAGGTTTATACTTGATACTCCAGAATCTGTTCCAAGTTTTCAGCCGCAAGAAGGCCCGTCGCAAGCTGGCCAACACATGTACACAGCGAAGCTTGCAGCATAGTGCAGAAACTTTCCGATCTGGAGTTCCTTTCAGCACCACCCCCGAACACCTAAAGTCGTTGAGAAGCCGCACATCTCAGCCCAACGGAGCAGTAATGAACATTCAAACGAAACGTGCGCCGCATCATGACAGGCAGGTTAGAGGTTTGGCGACTTTTTGGCATCCCGAGTGTAGATGTCGCGTAGTCCCTCGATCTCTCCTTGAGGAAATCGATTTTGGAGACAGCAGCAGCACGAATTTTGTTCGAGCTTGAGACTAGTGATGAACCAGTACTCATAGCTGCAAGAAGGGTTGCAACCGGTCGTGCATTTCCTGGTTTTTAGCCGAGGATTCGACGTGCAACAGCATCAACGGGATGATCAAGAAGACTCAGAGCTTCTTGAGACTTGCTTCAATGTTCCCTGAAGTTCTCATAGGAATCCCCAGCCCTGGACCCTACACCCCAAAAAGCTGCTGCCCCGACGGAAAGCCCAGAAGCCAGCACGGAACACCCACGGTTATGGCCCACAAAAACCTAAAACACTAGACCCTAAAACCCAAAACACTCAACCATTCTCGGGATTAGGACAGCTCACCTTTTGCTCCCGCTTGATCGATTTGTGAGATTTGAAGCACTCAGAAGGCTTAGATAATCAATAGTATGTCTCAGGGTTTCTTAGGATTATAGTATAGGATACAGTCAATATTATTCCTTTCGTGGAACATGGCCCCCGAAGCCCCATTCAGATTTTTAAGGCATGCAAAAAGCTGGAAGTACAGTTACAGTGAAATATACCCCCCAAAACCCTGCTTTAGCTATCAAGGCTTCTATACCAGCGGGAGTGTGGGCTAGGTCCCAGGATCGACATAGCAAGCTCCGTAAGCATCTAGCATAGCGGCTACTGGCTTCTTTTGAGGCACTTCCTTGGTAACCAGCTTTCTTTGTGGGGGCCAAACCCAGCTGCCCAAATTTCTACCAAGGCTTTCAATGCATGTTTGCAAGCCCTAAAACCCTGAAGAAGAAAAGCATAGCTACTGAGCCCAAGCTTTCCTATGCTGTGACCTCGTAGCTGCATCTTCCGATCTCCGATACAGCCTTCTGACGGTTCTCCGTGCCACCATCTCGGCTTCTGGGAAGGATCAGAGGCAGGCTAGGAAGAGCATCTGATATCCAGCTGCCGTTTTGCAATGAGAGATTCGCATGGCCTTGGGAGTCACTGTGTTGTAGGACACTGATGAACAACTATGCGGGCCCTGGTGGGCCGGAATTTATCGAGAAGCAGGCAGATGACTTCATCAACGGAGCCTTCGCGGCACGTGGAGCTTCTCAAAGCAAAGCAAGCTCTCAAGCCTTCACATGCAGCGCCCATCCTGCCTCTCCTGCGACATCTGCCAGTAAACATTGTGTTAATGCCCAGCTTTTTGAACTGAGCGTCCAGTCTTCTTCAAGTTCCCCAAAATAATCTGCTTTAAGTACCCGGCTCGGGCTCAACGCCTGCAAGGGATAGTGAGCCACATGAAGGTTGGCGATTGCTTGTGAGGCCTTTCATTCAAGAGCCTACTCCTTGAATCCTCGACCCTTAACCTGGACTAGATGGGAGGGTGAGCAGCCAGTCAGTATGGGTAAGTTAGTTGTGGTGTTGGTGGTGAATCCCTCTGCTCTGTTCCAGGCCCAACGCCTCAGTCTAACAGGCTTTCCGACTAACACATGTGGCAGGAGGAAAAGAGGCGACAAAAAAAACACCTGAACCCCCTAAACCCTAAACCCTAAACCCTAGACGCGCTTCAGGAAGCCTCCAAGACATGGTGCTCCTCTCCGGGGAGCTCATCGACGAAGGTATTGCTTCCGTCCAGCGCCTTGACATGTAGTCTAGTAGTAGTAGTAGTAGTAGTAGTAGTAGTAGTAGTAGTAGTAGTAGTAGTAGTAGTAGTAGTAGTAGTAGAAGTAGTAGTAGTAGCAGTAGTAGTAGTAGTAGTAGTAGTAGTAGTAGTAGTAGTAGTAGTAGTAGTAGTAGTAGTCCCCTGGTTGAATGAAGCGCAGGACGAAGGAATGACAACAGACACGTTGGCATCTTTCAAGATGTGCTGCGCTGCTTTGGTGTGGCCCAGTATGATGTGGCACAGTCTCACCTACCGAATCGTTCCATAATATGTTGGCACAATTCCGTGGAAGCAAACACTTACATATGTAGGGAGGTCTATTAGCACGTACATACGAATGTAAGTATACATGCCTGCCTGCCTGCCTGCATGCATGCTCTGAGCATGTAGACAAAAGCGCATATGTTCGCACGAACTTTAAGCAACACAATTTTCGAGATGCGCTGGCCCGAAAGCAATGGATATCAGTGAGATGCAGTGTGTCATGTGAATTATGCACTTCGGTGTCAGGGACATGACAACGTATATGGTTACATGCAAGTTCGGGGCTCACAATCTAAGTGCAAGGCGAACGCAATGAAAGCAAGTGTAATGCCAATGCAACGGAATCTTACTCGGTGTCATGCATTGGTACCTTGCATATCGTGTAAGCCACAGCAAATCCGTCATCGCTCTGTAAATGCAGTGCTTTTCTACTGTGAATGTGGGGTAGCGTGCTGATTTTGAAGCAAGGTATACACTAGCACCCGTCAGGCCAACATACTTCTCTCCCTCTCTCCCTCCCTTCCCTTGGAGGCTGTCTCTCTTTTTCTCTCCTCGCAGCTCTTGCTCTTTCGCACACACATGAGGAGCGTGTGTGGAAGCATCTGGTTCGAGTGGTCTGTTTTCGTGAAAGCACTCCTGTCAAAGGTGACAGGAACGGTTGCGCCGAGAGTCGTAGAGCCTCTAAACCGAAGCCCTGAAACCCCAAATCCTACATTCTGAAGCCCAAGACCTCCTACAGCCAGAAGCACTTCCAGGTGCTCCGCCGGCAATGCTGCGGCGTGCAAACTTATCAGAGACACAGCAGCTTGGCTTTCACCTTCCATAACAACACCGGCCGATCCGTATGGGACTTGGGATTCAGAGTTTCGGTGTCGATCCCAAGATCTGCCATGTCAGACCCTCACCGATGTCGTTACAAGATCCTGACCTTGAAAACCATTAATCCGAAGCCTTCCGAGATCTTCCGAGTCAAGTCTCTGATTAGTTCCTGTGGGCTTGAGCACGTGAGATTGCCGAGGACTACACCATGCATCTCAGCGGGGCAACTACCTTCCTCACGGACACGATGAAGGACTTGCAGAGCAGTCTGCCGCAGGCACGTGGATTTAGTGGTGTCCATTTTGCAATGTATTTGTATGTGCAGCGAAGAACGGGGGCCTTGCGGTTGAAGGCTGTTGTGGGGGCGTGTTGTTCATACTTAAGCGGCGCCTATCGAAGTTGCCTGGATGGTGCAAATCTAATGACCGTGCTTGTAAAGATGCAAGAGAACCTGACTACGAGGATAGGTTGGCGTGCAATGTTGCTGCCGCGAAAGTGGACTTGGTTTCGTGGGGATGCTGCCGACATGCTCGTATCAAATTCTGCATCAGTTACAACAGCCTGGAACAGATTCGTTAAACTGAAGACAGTGTGCCCTTGATCTGCGTATCCAGCAGCGGCTTGCGTATGCTTGCTTTCATGACGCCACTTGTCTTAAACGGCACCTTTGGATGATACCCGTTCTCGCCCTATGCTCGCAGGGCACAATTCACACGATCTTCCAAGTTCATTCATCAGACATCGTTTGCACTGAGTTTATTGTATCGAAAGTTTGCAGGTGACTTTGAACTTTTTAATCGATTTGCTGCCTGTTGTCATTTCAGTCGCCTGATGTTTCGCTCGTTTTTCATTCGGCTTCCGCTTGTGCGTCATTCAGGCAGCGGTGCGAGGCTGCCCCATCTTTCACAGCGTTTGCGGATAGGATAGGCAAATGCCACGTGCACACTCGACAATAATCTCCGTGATTCCGTTTGTCTAGGAGCCATCATGTACTACTGTATTACGTATGGTTACGGAGAATTGGGTCTGCTTCTACAGCCGAAGGGGTTAAGAGGCTAAGGGTTCACGGTTTGGGGGTTTAGGGTTTACGCCCAAGCTCACTGCCAGCAGGTGATCAAGGCGTTGACGACGGCGAAGCTGCTTGCCAGATGTCAGCGCCTAGAATGTAGGGGTCGGATAGTTGGCAATATAGGAGGGCCTTAATGCTCCTTAGGACGAGTGTTGTATAATACATCCCCTGAACAACCGTATTCTAGCGGTTGAGGCTGTTAAGGACTCTATTTCAGCTTCAGTCCCCAGGTTCTTCAGCCCTCAACCCATGAAGTTCTATGCTCTGGCGTCTTACTCCCGGCAAACTCGAAATGCTGGGCCTCGGTTCTTATGACGCCAGAAGAGGGCTTGAATATCTTATAGTCCATAATAGTCCATAAAATACCCTACCTATGACCAGGATTATAAGGAGATATTGGATTCATAGCCTTCAAGCTGGATGAGCATGTCGGGATTTGATCCGAGCCCTTGGCAGAGAAGCTCAAGCAGCCAGGCCTAGGCAGCAGTTGCCTATGAGGCTCGGAAAATCCCCACATATACATACGTAGTTTCGCATGTGTACATACGTATATATGTGTGTGTATATATATATGTATACATTTGTATATATAAACATGAACTACAACATAGTAGAGTATAACACAATATGATATGAAATGAATACAGTGTTCTAACAAGTATGCATAGGCCGTGTTTAGGATTTTGGCTTTGCAGCGAGAAACACTCGCACAAGCAGGCGCCCCACTGACCCACATAGCGACATCCACACTGCGAAGGAAAGAGGTGTCGACCATCAGTGGGGTGATCAACTCCATCTCGCAGGCAATTGGGTTTAGAACTTCTCTCGTGCAGCGTGCATGCCCAGGAACGTAGCTCCCAGTCTGTAAGGTCTAGATTTTCGGATAGGACGATTGCACCTAAGCTGGACCAAAACCCTCGTTCTTCGACGCTAGCTCACTTTCCCTTTCCGAGCGTCACGCAGCTACACCAGCACTTCCCTTTCCACAGCTGACAGCAACATCGTCTGCTGGCAACAGGCAACTCGAAGATAAGCGATTTTGATGCAGGTCAACACCGCTAGCAGTCACTAACTGATGTAATTGTAGTTGTACCGTTCATGTTGCGAGCCATATCTAGTATCATCGGACTGGCCGCAGTGCGTATGCCAGCATTGTCTGACCTTGGTGCTTGCTAGGATGTTGGGATGAGAACAGCAAGTACACTGCTTCAACAGCTCTCGACCCCTTAAAGAAATGAGAGCGATCGTGCGAATGGTGGAAGAAAGCTAGCAGGACTGATTACGTACTAGAACCCCAAAGTCATATGCAAAGACAACTTGCAACTTGTTATGTGTAGCTATTGAGGATGACAATACCCACCGCTGGTAGTTCGATGTTGATGATGTTGATGGCGATCATCTTCACCACGATCGTGATTAGCGGGATCATCATCGTGGTCAGCATCAGCCAGTATATGATCAACTTCGATGGTAATGTACATGGCAGTTGCGCGATTCACAGAACTAAGTTGCTGCAGTTCATTCTGCCATTTTGTGCTGAAGTGTCCCATAGTTTGAGCTTGGGGTTTACGGTTAGGATCCCACCAGTCGAGCCCTGTGTGAAGCCGTTCAGATGCTTGGACTCAAAGCACCGCCGCTCATGGACCAGATGGGCATGATCTACAAGAGACCTGGCACGGGAAGAAGATTTGCTCTTCAAGGGCTTGATGTGGGAGTTTCCGAAAATTAGGGGTACCTTATTTGGGGGTCCTTGTAATAAGGATCCTATTATTTGTGGCACTATATTAGGATCCCCTATTTTCGGAAACCCCCATGTGCCTGGCTGCTAGACTCGTTCTCCCTCTGACGCTTCTGGGTCTCTCATGCTGCAGCCAAGAATCGTGTGGATCGCATACTTCGTCTTCTTCTTCCTCTTCAGCGCAACAATGTCTGCTTGGCCGCAATCATGTTCCAGACGACCTGGTACAGGGATTCTTGCACAGTTGTGCTTCAGAAGCCCGCCTGCCTGAGAGCCTGGGTCTCGGGCAGGCAGCAGCTGCTACGTACCTCCTCACCGGGAGACCCTAAAGTGCATCATATCATAGATGTTCTGCGGCTGATGCTATGAAAGAACATGCGAAGACTGTGCAGACTGCAGGGCAAGTGATGTGCAATACACCTGGACCATTAAACTTCCGCAGGCGATAGACCATGTGCCATGCTTTGCGAGGCTCTTTTATGGATTCTGGGCGAACGGATGGTTTGGTGGCCCACAGGTGCATAATGCGCTTTCTTGATGGAATCTTGTAATACAGTCCTACCTGTAGGTGGGAGGACCATTTGGTATACAAGACGGTCCGTGATGGATTTCCCAATGCCTGTTCTGTAAAGACTCAGGGTCCGAACCTGCAAGGCTTGCTCTTTGATTTTCGGATTCGGGCTTGAACTTCAAGATTCAGAGCTTAGGGTTTTTTTTTGAAAACCTAGTTGCGAGCTTATCTGCTTGAATACAGCTCACTCATTCGCTCACCCACCTCTTGGCCTCGCTGCCTCTCTGTCTCACTGTCTCTGTATTTTCTCTCTCTCTCTCTCTCTCGCTTTTTTGCTGGCTTTGCATGGTATATATATATACATATGTGTATTATATTTGTACATACACATACATGCATGTATACACAAGTATAAACAAGCAAGCTGTCCAGTCCTCCTACGCGAAGCAGGCAGATCTTCCGGAGTCTGAGTACCAGCCGCCGCAGACCTTCGTGGAAAGAATCCGAACATGCTGTGGTAGCTGCCTCGTAGCTTTGCGGAGCATGGGAGGAACGTTTTCTGTTAGTCGATGTCTTCGTTTGCTGAGTGTTTGGGTACAAAACTAAGCTATCGCCGGTGCAAGTTTTCATAGTAGCTGCACCCTGTGCTCTTCACATATTTGTCATATCCGTGCATGCAAATCAATATATGTTTAAATAAATTATAAATAGACAAATAAACAAAAATATATATATATATATATATATATATATATTTTGTTATTTTTATATTTACACACATCTATATATGGCTTGCTGACAGTATTCTGTATAGCATAGTACGTGTATGTACACAGGCAGGCAGACAGCCAGGCAGCCAGAGAGACAGACAGAGACAGACACAGACAGACAGAGACAGAGACAGAGACAGAGACAGAGACAGAGACAGAGATAGAGATAGAGAGGCAGACAGACAGACAGACAGACAGACAGACAGACAGACAGACAGACAGACAGACAGACAGACAGACAGACAGACAGACAGACAGACAGACAGACAGACAGACAGACAGACAGACACACACACACACACACACGCCTGTATGTGTGTATATATATATTGTATATATACATACACACATGCGCATCTGTATCTCATTATACACAAATATGTAAAAATATATATTTATACAGACATACACGAGAAGACATACATGCACATACATACACCTGCCAACTATGTCTGCACTATGTTACGGCTAACGTACTGTATGGCACCTCGACAAACATCACTTTCAGCTTTAGGTTCGCCTCACTGAGGTGCATGTCGTCATAGCGACACGATGGGCAGGAAGATGTTCTGTCCAAGAACACCTACTAAAACACACAGACGCAGATGATGGTGATGATGATGATGCTGGTGATGATGCTGTTGATGATGGTCGTGATGATGATGACGAGCACCATCTTTGCCATCATCGTAATCTAGCACTGTTGGAGCATCATCTTCTATCACGAATTGAGACATTTGCATGCACCTTATACACGCGTGGTTGCATGTTTCTATATGTGTGTGTATCTCTGTGTTCGTATGCATGCACCTGTGCATGTGTGCAAGCAAGTAGACAGATAGTCAGTTCTTCATGCGCACAATCTTAGCTCACCAAGTAGTAACCCTCACAGAAGCCCTTCGAGCTCACAGAAGCCCCGGATGAAGACTCCATAAAGGAATCCTCGCAGCGACCCAGGCCTGCTGCCGAAGTTGCACCTCTGGCCACCTCTGCTTCTGGTCGATGTTGCTGCTGGCGCAGGTGATCGTCCTCCTAATGCCACCTGGTGCTCGAAATGGGAGTTTCCGAAAACAGGGGACCCTAGTATAGTACCCTAAATAGTAGGATCCTTACTATAAGGACCCCCAAAAAAGGTACCCCTAATTTTCAGAAGCTCCCAAATCTGACGCCAAGCCGCAACCGCCTCCACCCAAAGAGGTCCTGGAGGCTTCTTAGACCCCCTGTGGAGCTGCTCGAAATCAGACCTCCCCGGTTTTTTTAGCTCTGCGAGCAGGTTTTGCAACAGCAGTGTTGGATCTAGGAGGCATCCCTGTATGCTCCAGCCACATGAGGCAGGGTGACTATGTGCGTGCAGTCGAATGCATGGAAGATGCATGCACACATGGAAGCAGGCTTATATCCTGTGGTAGTCGCCAGTTAAGCCCCGATGTTTAATCCCGTGCAACCAGAATGTGCCCAAAGCCTCGAGCTGAAACACGAGGTTCATCATCTCCCTCGTAATTTGCCTGATCACCGGCATCCAGGCCTTTCTTTGTTGTGGCTGGCAGTGTCTGTTCCAAACTCTGGAAGCGCTGATATACAAATGGTTTCCCGCTGTGCGATGGTATCCCCCTCCGAGCCGGCCTGAACCCTGATTCCTCAACCCTGCAGCCGGCAGCACCCAACGATTTCATCGGGGAAGGAGGAACTAAGCCACTGAGCATGTCCGAAGCCGTTCCACGGGGGGGAGGGCGGCTGATCACGCGTTCGAGTTAGGTGGAGTAGTATACTTTTGGACAATGCACATCAAATCATAGCTAGATAAGGCTCACGTGAATGAGTGGTGACGGAAAGGAGAGAGCCCCGACGGGAATTTGATCGTTTGTAGCACAGCATAGAAAATCTTGCAAGAAGGTCGAAGCCAGAATGGAAGCCAGAATGAATGGCATATAGCGTCATGTGGCAGAGCAGTACAAAACCGTGTTACAAAATGACCAGAGAACAGCATGACATGCTACCGAGCCTCTAGAACTTTATCAGTCTAGCGATGAGGAATGCCGATCCCCAATCTCCGTACAGACTTGCTTGCTACTTTTAAAGTATCATATCATCTCCAGAATTGGTTGTATCTGAGGCCTTCTGATGCCCCTCAGGTCTGACGATTTCCCCGTTTCCAAGCTAGAAGCATCATCGTCGAAGAGCTCATGGAATAGCCAGCCCTCACAGGCCGCGTCGTCGAAGTTATCCCCCACTCAAAAGCCCCAGAAATGCAGGCTTTCTTTGGGGCTGGATGCTCGAAGATCTACCTCATCGGCGATGCAGAGGTATGCTCAGCCGTCGAACCCTCGGAAACGTGGATTCTTGTGTTGGCTTGCAGACTGCAGAACATGTAAAGCTGGCACAGCGAGACGCGATGCAGGCATGCATGTGCATGTAGTGTCACACATACGGACAAACACATACATGCCTACATGTACATGCCTGCATGGCTAAATGTCCACATGCACACGTGTATATGTGCGTGTGTGTATCAAGGCACACCTATGTACATACATACATTCCTACATACCTACACAAACCCTAAACCCTCTAAACCGACATACTATACCTACATCAAGGCCCCCTGCCCTGCCAATGCAATCCCAGGCACTCCGGACCCTTACAAGCTTCATTTTGGAAAGCCCGAACCCGCCCAAGCAGGCGGTTTGAAAGTTCTGCATAGCCATCCCACCGGAAGAGGATCGACCGTGGTCTTAGCGTCGCCAACCCAACGAGGAAACAAATCTTCCAGGCTCCAAGCCCCTTCACCAAACCCAAAGCCCCAAAACCTGAACCCTTGCGCAAGACACCAAAACCCAGAGCCCGAACAGTCCAAGACCTGAACCTGGGACCTCTTAATAGAGGGGGCCTGAAGACTTACCTACACCATCTTGCAGGGCTCCTTATTATAATTACAGTATAATATACTCCAAAACCTTATTACAAATATAGTATAGTGGGCCCCTATGGTAAGCCTGAATAATTACCTGTACTGTTTTGAGGGGCTCCTTAATATAATTAGAGTATAATGTACCCCAAAACCTTGCCATAACTATAGTATAATATACCCCAAAACCTTGTTATGATTAAAGTATAATGGGCCCCTATAGTAGGCCTTCATCTTGAAGTTCCGGCGTAAGCGGCTTCCGCCACGAGGTTGACCTCAAGGTTCCCGAAGCCACAGGTCAGAAGAGTTGGCAGTAGAGACTCTTTAGAGTCCCCATATGGGAGTTTCCGAAAATCAGGGATACCTTGTTTGGGGGTCCTTATAATAAGGATCCTACTATTTCGGGTACTATATTAAGAACCCCTGTTTTCGGAAACTCCTGATCATACTACAGTACAAACCGAAACGCCCTTCGAGGTTTTTGCAGGGCCCCCAACCCCTAAATCCCCATAACAAGCCCGTGCAGCAAGCCCCTATTCTAACCCTTTCTAGAAACCTCATAGTATCCCTTGTAGAAATAGCACCTTCTAACATCCCTTACAGAAGTAGTACCCCCCCTTATAGATAGCTCCTTATATAGAAACCTTATAAGATCCCTTACAGAAGTACTACCCCCCTTAATAGAAAGCACCTTTTTTCTTAGGTGCTTGGCATCTTCAAGGTCTTCCTTAAGACCTTCGGCCCCTTGGAACTCTTAATAGTAGTAGTAGTAGTAGTAACATAATAGTAGTAGCAGCAATAAAGTATTAATAGTAATCATAGTAATAATAGTAATAATAGTAATAATAGTAATAATAGTAGTAATAGTAATAATAGTAATAATAGTAATAATAGTAATAATAGTAATCATAGTAATCATAGTAATAATAGTAATCATAGTAATCATAGTAATCATAGTAATAATAATAGTGATAATAGTGATAATAGTAATAATAGTAATAATCGGGGCCCTGAGACGGCGACATATTTTTTTTTGGCGGGCCTCTTGGGCTTTGGTAAGGCGTTGAAGGTTGAGCTCTGGACAAGCTTGCTGTAGGTTGGCTTAGTGTATAGGATTCAGGGTTCAGGGTTTCGGGTTTAGGGTTTGAGGTTTTAGGGTGTCAGCTTTTCGGGTTTCAGGTTTTAGGGTGTCGGGTTTAAGGTTAGAGGGTTTAGGGTTTAAGGTTTAAGGTTTTAGGGTTTATGGTTTAGGGAGGGGTTTCATCGCAGCACGAGTCAAATCTCCGGTTCTATCTCTGAAGAGGTATGCGTCTACAGACACGCCCACATGTTCGATATGCGTGCATTGCACTAACATGCCAAGCAACCCAAAATTCTGGCACGGATTTGATATACCGCAAGCCTTGCGTAGTGTAGCCATCACCAGCAACAGGAGCAAAAAACAGTGCGCAAGTAACAGCTCTAAAAAGCTTTGAAAACTTAGCAGTAGATGTAGATGTAGCTATAGCATAGCCTTACTTGGCTGCAGCCGTGGACGTAGAGGCAACCGTCATCGCAACTGCTCATGCATTGAAAAATCCTCTCCATGCCGGAGTTGGAGATACATTTTGTCCGGCTAAAGCTGCTCGCATACCGAGCTGCGAATTCCAATAGAAACCTGAGACCTGCAGGCCGGGCACCTCTGCCGTCTTCCCCTAAACCCTCATTCCTAAGCATCTTAAAGACCCCACGCCTAAAACCTCGGGGCACCCAGCCTCTCTCGAGGATTTGAGGAGCCTATCGAAGATACCTGCTTTCAGAAGAACCTTCTCACCTGCAAGACTCTCGGCGCAAGATATCGTCAGCTCAGACTCTCATTCTGTTGTTGTTCCTTCTGTTGTTGTTCCTTTTGGCACTTTGCAGTTGTGTAGCTTTCTCATGTTGCGCTTCGGTCAATCAGTGATCAGACCGCCCGAAATATGTTTGCAGGAAGGCTCGTCGGACGAAAGCCTCCAACCTTGCCGCTCCCATCCCAAATTTCCCACAACCTTTATCACAGGGTCATGCCTTGCAAAGGATTATCCGTGACTCCGTCTTTCACACGGCAATCTTCGTGTGCCTGGGCGCGACGGTTGGGGGGTTTGGAGTTCCTCCTTTCAAGGTAGGGGGATGCATGGGTTGACCATAATTTTGACAACTACCCATATAAGCCGGAACGGTACACAAATCCTAAACTCCGAGGCAAATGTAGCCGCGTAGCTTCGGCGGACGGCACAGCTGTCTGTAGAGCATTCCTGGCAGATGTCTGGCATGTGCAATCCTGGAGATCGCCCACAGCACCTAAACCCTTAAAGCTTAAAGCCCTAAACCCCAAAAAACCTCTAAACCCTAAAACCCTAAACCCCTAAACCCCTAACCCCTAAACCCTATAATGCCTAAGACATCGAAATTCTGATTCCTTCCATCACGCTCAGGATTATCGGAGCCTTGCTGGCATCAGCCTCTCGACACCTCAGCTTCGACGCAGCAGCCATCCTCGGCTGGTAGTACTGTAAGGTCTTATGTAGGGGCCTATAGAATCAGGATAGGGTTTTGGGGTAGAAGTCTAGTATACTGAAAAGAAGGCACGTTAAGGAAGACGGTTTTCATTACAGCACTACTAACCTTCATGCTCTTGTTTCTTTGATGTGCTTGTCGCTGGATTCTGAGCCGTTGCTGAAAGTGGAGAAGGGTTTCAGAATGAACCGAACTCGTCCATGCAGGCCCACGAATCGGTTGCTTGTCGCCCTCCTGTAGGTGGAGTCTTCAGTTGGCCAGACGTCCTCTCTTGCTGCTTGAATGTCGTTCGGTCGCGCGTTTGCTTCTTCCCCAGGTTTTCTCATTTCAGATGCTGCTGGACTCTGCCATCAAGCACGAGCGCGCGCGATGTGCTAGAATTTGGGAGGAGGAGGGCCTCGACAAGAAGAGCCGCTTGGTCCACCCCAGACTGCCGTCCCAACCAAAATCCGGCTCATGA